AAAAAAAAAAAAAAAAGCTTTCATTAGGCTGTAAATGCTGATATACCACATATTTCACTCACCTGTTGGCTTTAAGTAGTGTTGCCCTTTTTTTTAGCCAGGAGGGGGCAGTGTTGTTTGCTGCTTTTTAGGGTGTTTAGAAACTGTTAATTAAGGGCATTGTCATAATTAAGCATACATGCTTGTGATTCAAACGCAGTGTCAGTGCAGCACATCAAAATTAGGTAAAACTATCCACCCTGGAAAAAGAATTTAGGTTACAAATATGATCTTAAATGATCCGGTTTGAGTTCTTAAATGCGAACGAGCCGCAGCCCCCCGAAGCCAGATGGCCACAAATGTCGAGTGACAAACCTCGAAGCAGCTCGGTTGACAGTGAAGGGACGTCGAAATCTTTTGACAGTGACAGCGACTGAGATGATTTTCTTATGGGCACATGAGCACATTTCCATGGTTCATGTCCTTTAAAAAAAACAAAAGCTCATTTAGATGTAACAGCCTGACCTTTCCATGACTCCTCAGTGAGTCAGTGGAGTCGGCGTCTCATTCACTGTCAGTGGAAAAGCTCTGTGATTATAGAAAAGAATCTCAGTTGTCTGGATTTCAGCTGTTACTGAACTCACTCACATTTCAGATTATCTAAGAGCATAAAAATAACTCAAATTCCATTTTCAGGTGAGTTTTTGCCTTAAGATTTAATTGACAGATGGGGAAGGGAAATCTGTTTTTGTTCTTTTTTTTGAAAATTGAGTCATAAGGTGTAAGATGTTAGCGATCTTGTGGGTATAAAAACTATATCAACGAATGTTGTATGCAGGTGCACTTTTAGAGACATAACCAATAAAACCCAGAGGATATTTCCATCATTAAGTCCCAGACATATAAAACAAAGAATGAATGATGCATCGGTGCAGGACTTTGTTTTTGTTTTATATCGCGGAGGAAACAGCATGCCGGGATTACGCAGTTTTTCAAGATCTAATCACTGTTTAAATGGAAGGAGTTGATATGGATTTTAGTCTGGTCCAGCAAACTGATCAGTTAAACGTCATACTTCTGCCACGGCTTCGGTACAGATCCATTCTGCTTATTTCTATGTGATGTAGAGCTGCAACCTTGGGGTTTTGTTGATATGAAACTGTACAGAAAACGTTTAGTGTTAAATAAATGTCACTTTTAATGCGTCATTTCTGACTCGTCTGGATTATTCACTACTCTGACTGCTCATATGTAATATAATACAATCACAAATATTACATTATTTACATTATGAAGCTTTGGTACTGGGATAAAATGTGTGGCTAAAGATTGCACCGGTGCCACAGGCTTTATGTATGTTTAATGATGTTCTGTATGATTTTACACATTGGCGGCACCAAGTGGCAGCAAAGGGTAACTGTGGGAAATATGAAATAACAGTTGTTGACCTTTTCAGGTAGAGACACCTCAGCAGTGAATGGCTCAATAGCCCTTTCAAGCTGTTCATTGATATTTTTTCTCTTTTAGTCTTTCGAGGCATTACCTCCCGAGGGCAGAGATAAAGCAGGAAAGTCCAACTAAACGACTCTGAAGCCAGAAAAAGCCTCAATCGATGGGTTACAATTGTCATGTTTAAATTCAAGTAAATGCAGTTATTTATGGGATGGGACTTTTTTTTTCTTTTTGCTGTAGGTCACAAGGATTCTTTAAGGATTCTGCATTCATACCCCTCTTTCCAGATCCTCATGCAGAACAAAAAAAGTGACTTGTTCCTGCCTCTGGTCTGATTTTCCAACAGATTTCACTGACATCTGGAAGCAATTTAGTTAACAGAAAATACTAATACTGTACTAGAGTTTTCTCATCCCTAAAATGACCATCAGAACTACAAATTAACATAAAATCAAATTTAAAAAAAACATTTTCTTCTGTGCAATAAGAAGACGTGCTAAGAAATAAAAAATAAAGTTTTAGTGGACAAAAAGAAGATACGTGTACAGTCTTTTAGCTCTGCTGCATGTTTGTTCGGATTAAGACTAACAATCGTGCACCATTTGGTCTTATTCTGGCCCAGTTGATGAGCTAAAATGGTGACTGGGTGTATTTTAACAACATACAAACATCCATCCTGGAGCAGCTCTACATCCATCGGTGCTGAGGTATCACTGTGTTGAGAGGAGAGTCTTCACTCCCCGGAGTCACGCAGATCTCGGGGCAGAAAGAAAATGGCCTTCTGTCCGATGTGAGTCCTTGGACCCGGTTTAGGTTTTCCGTTCTTCTTCAGAGCCACATACCAGTTCCTCTCGTGATATTTCTGAGATACGTAAGTGTTGTAGTGGTTCTCCTCCAGCTTCTCCAGGAAGTAACATTCATCCGTCACTGTTTGCTGAGAGGTACACAAAAACAAGCACCAGCAGCTGAAAGCACTTCAGTTGTTTGGTTTGAGGTTCAAAGTTTAAAAATGTAGTCACCAGAGTTTAGATGAGGATTGTATATTGGTGAGTCATGAATCATTTACAACAAAATTAATGGAAGATTCATTTATCAAATACATCATGTACTGAATTACAATCATACTCACTGAACTGTGCAATCGGCCCTCGTCGCTCATGGCCAAATATCGCCCAGCCTCTGTTCCTTGGATGACCACTACACCTCTGTCCACAGCTTTGAGCTTTAAAACAGCTGGAAGGAGGAAAAGGTTTCAAATAAATTACATGGCAACAACTGAAACCTATAAATTACTAAACATGGAAACTCTTATTAGAAATAAAAGGGACGTAAAATAAACTGAATGAGCCCAAGCTCTGTTGACCCTGGCCAGATGTTTGACTGGATAAATTACAGATGTCATAAATTTCATATACAAAACAGAATAAATCAGCATTAAAATATCACAGTAAACATGGTAGTTTGCTAAGTGACATTATCGAGAGGGCCTATATTTTTACGCCTGTCATACATTAGATCACTGACTGTATATCTGCTACATATCATATATTGCTGCACAGTCAGACCTTTCTAGCAAACCCTGCTTGGTGTTTCTGGGACAATCCGAAGCCGAAGCTGCCTTAAAGAACATGAATAAATTCATCATAGGCTCTCATATTGGATGTTTCTGCCTATTGTACTTCTGTGTTTGTAGTAATGTATTTCCACAATGCATCAAGACATGTAGAGGAACGCCCCCGACCACTGTCACACCAGATCAGTCAGAACTTGTTTTATGAAATTAGTTTAGGTGTATCATCGTCCATGTGGCCTCGCTTTATTTTGCACTTCTTTTGTTCACAGGGTTGTGCCACAATATGTCTAATATAGATATGGTATACATTATGGTGCTTTAATCAGGGCAGTTAATGTTAATTTGCTTGTTAATCTGAGTTAGAGAGGAGTTTCCTATAAACTTAATAATGTTTCAGAGGTTTGTAGCCATGATTTATCATATTGTTAATAATCTTCCAGTTAGTGGATAGAACTTTTTTGCACTCATTAATCCAACAGACACAATCTTTTTCTTATAGTGTGGACAACTTTTATCATCCACATAATTCAAAATGCATAACCTAGGATGTAAGAGGTTGTTTCTACAATTATATCAAATCTCTGCTACTAGGATGCATTTTATTCCTCATGCAGTCAAGTTGGGTGAATACATTTAAAAAGAACTTCAAAGTCAAATAAACCTGTTTAAAACAGGGGCTGGGGTGTCCTATATGTCCTTAAATGAACAGCACCCCCCTTCAAAACATCAGTAACTGGCTTCCACACTTACTGAACGTCTCTTTTCCTGCTCTTTGGACCTGACACACCTGCAGTGTGGGAAGTGAACGCATCAGGCCTGACCTGGATGTAAAATGCGCATCGTGCTGCAGTCTTACTGTGAACGTCCCTGTCATCCCTCTGGCCCTGCACGGTCCCATCGGGGAGGATCTGGAGGTGATATCCGCCATTCATGCAGTAGAGCCGAGTCAGCCGCCTGTAGTCCCGCAGCAGGCCGCGATCCACAGTCTGCTCCCCGGACACAAACACCTCCTCATCCGCCATCCTGCTCAGGAGGAAAGACAGCTGTGCAACCGACAGGGGGGGTCTGCAGAGACAGCCTTGTTTATGATGAGAACAATCAGCGGGTTGTGTCCCCCTGCAGTGGTCAGGTGTTTACATGCTCGTGAACGAGCGCAGAGATCACACAGGCAGCAGGATGCGCGCCCCCGACTCCTGTCCTCAACCTGCAGCCAGGGTAATGGTATAGAGACACATACAGACCCCAACTCTTCAGTACTTTAACTGTACTAATGTTCTATTATTATTATTTTATTGTTTTGTTTTCTCATTATTATTATTAATTATTCAGAAGGAAAAACAACACTAGAGGCAATAAGGCAATATTACTATTATATTAACAATTTTATATCTCTATTCCGAATTGGTAACTTTAGGTTTTAATAGAACATGTATGATCATGGTTAATTAAAAGGTCTGCACTGAGTAGTGATGGGACCGGATGCAAAATAATATTGAAGCCAGATGTTTACAGCTAAAAATAGTTTTCAATGGGAACTAATTTCTACAAAAAAAAAAAAAGAGTTAAAAAAGAGTTTAAAAAAAAAAAACTCCAGAGAAAAAGCTTTAAGTGACATTCAAATGTGGGTAAATCCTGATTGGTGCACAGAGGTACCTGACCTGTGTCACCTTTTCCCAACTGAGAAAAGAGGAAGACATGAGTTTAATAAAACCTGATGTTAGTGGAGTAAAAGGTGGAGAGGGCACCAGAATTAAAATGTCTCCTTTAGAGCCGGACTCCTGCCAGCAGCTTTACTTCATTTAAACCCTGATGAAGACCCACTGAGGTTTAAACTGCTGAGTTGTATCATGAACAAGCCACATAACCAATAAAGGCTTCTTTCTTTTAAAAAACACTGCTGCTGTCAGCCAATTAGGGTCCATAGTTTGAATGCTCTGCAGGCTGACCCTCATTCATACCATTACACTAAAGACGATTATTTAAAAAGGTCACCTCAACGGTCTTTATCCTCAGTCAATAAACCAGCTGTCAGGATGGGAAAGCGTATTTATTTGATGAACAAGTGCTCGGTGTGATCATGAAAACGTGTCTTACAATGGGCTTACCATTTCCACTGTTCAGAATCATCGAGTTAATATGGCAAACATCAGCATACAGTTCCTTGTTTTTAGAGAAGTACCACACAAAGACATACAGTTCGACCTTTAATCGATGGAGGAAAAGATCAACTTGAGTCACACTACAGAGGAGAAATAATACAGAGGGTAGGTATAGAAAAACTATCATTTGGAGACAAATACACCACATTTTCTTTACAATGGATTATATGTACATATTAAAAAAATTTTAAGCAAAACAAAACAATTTTTTTTTGAGAAACCATATACCAGTGAAACATGATCTGCCTTGATAATTCTCAAAAAGTTAATGTCTGCATATGTTTTATACAAAATAGATTTTCAAACAATATTTGGGTAGTGCAAACCTTTTTTAGATTCAAGCTGGTTGATTACTTTCACAAACAGTTTGTGTGTGAAAAAGACTGACTCCTATATCTTGTTCACAGTATTACACAATTTGACCAAAGCCATCATGTTAGAGTAAAAAAATGTGTTTTTAAAAACAAAAGAAACAAAGAACTGTACATTTGTCTTTTAGGAGCTACGTAGTTTACACTGACATATGTTGAATTTGTACTTGCTTTGGTCACCTTGTAGTCAAACATCAAATAGGCATTTGTTGTGCAGTCTTGATAGACCGACTACTGACTAAGTGTATCTGTTTCCTGAAAATCTGGCCTGCAGAGATAAAAGTTATATGTGAATCTACTGTATGAAAATAGCTTATACTGGAAAAAAAAGAAGGAAGCAACCACATCTTGTTATGTGACGGTGATAGATTATCTGTTGGTTCTATTGCATATTCAGTTGTCCTTCTCAAAAATGTACAAACAACAAAGCACGGATACATTTTTGAGCAAGAAGAGGCAAGTGTGCACATGTTCAGCTATTAGTATATATCTTTATATATATCTATACCTGTTTAAATGAACAGCAGCAGAGATTTGGATACACTGAATGTGAAAGTAACCCATGAGTAACCCCTATGCAGTTAATAAAGATGGTTTTCAACTATTTTGAATAAACTTCAGAAAGAAAAAATAACAATTATGCCTTTTTTTTTTTGTTGAGTGTAGGTGTGCAATGACGACGGTGGCAGCACATTTTTGAAAAACTTTCTCCTATCTGTTCAAGTGAATTGGAACCTGACCAAGAAAAAAAAAAAAAAAAACATCACATATAAATCACGGAAGCAGAAACATTTTAGGAATCCAAACTGAATGTTTTTGGTTCTTAAAGTCAAGACATAAACGATTAAACGTGGAGAACTACATACTGTGTGAATCAGACATCGAATTTCAACAACCTGAGCATGGGAGCGGTTTTACATTTATAATGAGTGCTTTTATATTTGTTGTTGGGATGGCTTAGCAAACAGACAGACAGCAGAATCATTTGAACATTTTCAATATTTAAGTGCAACCAGTGAGCACTTTGCTGTTGCTCACTTGACGTATTTTTCCAATTATTTTTAAATTGGCGGGGGCATCACTTTTAATCTGTTGAGAGCAATTTCTTTTAAACTAAATTATTTCCTTTTTAAAAAAAGGTTCACATTCATGTCACAACCTGGATTACTTTAGTGCTGATGAATAAAACGTTGCAGCACATTTCAAAATTCCCACTTACTTACACAACACACAAAGAAAAGGGATACTGACAGACATATATTATTCTGTGAGATTACACAACACATCTGAGTGCCTTGTGTTACAGATCACGTATCACTCGTTAATAATAACCTCAACCCTAGCGGACTGAAGCGCAGATAATTCAGGACTATTTACGTAGTTGTGGGGAAATCTATGAGCTTCAATACTGGGATGTGTTTTTCTCTTCGGATGCAAACACTGACTGACTTTCAGCATCACTGAAAACAGACAAAACGGGAGTTTGGCACTGAAATAGTTCCCAGAGAATAAAAAGGATCCATTTTGCCTGCCTCCCCAGTCAGAGACGCTACACTGTGACTGTGACTCCACGAGGTGACTGACGCTAAGTGCTTTCATACATTGGGATGGGGGGGCTTGACTAGCTAACAGACAAGCATATAAACGTGCAAATATCCTAAAGATACATTAAAGACAAGGTGTCTACGTGAGCAGAAGGCTTAAACAGGAGGTTATCAGCAGCTGTGGGAGGTTTGACGTCTGATCCAAAGTGCTGTATACACAAGCTGTCTATCATACAAACTGTTCACTTTAAAGGAAGAGTTTGACATTTTGGGAAAATACGCATTTTCACTTTCTTTTCGAGAGTAAGACGAGAAAACCGATACTGAAAACTGGTGAAATTATAACTGTTAGTTTAAAAAAAGACAGTAAAAAGAACTTAACTAATTGAAGGACGGTTTTTCTTCCCCAACTACTTTGAGCCGTGTTAGAAACAGAAATTAGCTTTCCTGATTAATTAAAAATGACATTAACTCGCAAAACACAATAAAATATGCCCTCTCTTCTATGATTGGTAGACGCAGGTATCTATCACATACCATTATTAGATTATTGGGGCAGGAGCGGGGGGCTAAAATAAACATCAGAGCGGGGGCAATTTTCTCTACCTCCCATCTAAAATCATATACTAAAGACTGGTACAGCATAACAGTCTCTCTTCACAGTCTTTTAAAGCCGTTACATGGTACAAAGTGCTCGTATCGCACTTGAGGAGTTGAGTGTGCGGTGAGATCATGTGAAAGGAAGCAGGCTCTGAATCTTCTCTCTTAATGATAAGGATAAGGGTTTCTACACACGGAGGATGGGCCGAGCTGCCACTTCTAAAGATAAACAGCCATTGAAGAAAAAAAAAAAAAAATAAGGAAAACTTGTCACTGCACGTAACATAAACGGTACAATCAACATATGATGAAGGTAGATGACGGATTAAAGAGACGCCTTGAACACGTAGGAAGAAATGGCTAAGATGATATTTGAAGCAAAAAAGGCACATATTTTTTTCCCTTTTATAATAGACGTGTGTAAACCTGGAAAAGGTCGGCTTGTGGGAGAAATCATCCTTTGAATGGTGCACGTCGATTAACAATCCAACAGAATTGCTTCTTATGTCCAAAGTATCAAAGCAATGAAATATGCTTTTTACATGACTGGAAAACAGTTTTTTTTCCTCATGTGACTGATAAAACATTTTGTTACAGCCTCCTATAAAAACTAAAAGAGGAACATACAGTCAAAAAGCCTATTTAAGAGCATGTTTGTAAGCTTTGTTACCTTCCCAGGTAACGATGACCTGGAAAATTGTATAAACTGTTATAATTTGAAAATGTAGAAAATACTATCAGAACCTGTACATAGATATTTGTTTTATCTATTTTAGATATCGTTCTGTATTTGAAGGTAAGAAACCTGAGACGACATGGATGTTAAGCCTACTTTTCTTTGCTATTATCGTTTATCTTGCAAACATTTCCTACTTGTTATACACTACCATCAACAAAACCTCTGGTTTCTACACAAATGACTCCAGTCTCTCTGCTCTCACCTTCCAGACCCGTAACCCACTACACAAAGTTGCATACTCGCTCCCAAAAACATCATTCAGTCCTCGCCGCGGATCCTCAGAAATTTCATCGTCGCTCTTCGGGGAGGGTTGTGGGGGTGGGGGGGT